CCCCCCCCCCGCTAGAAAGTTTGAGCAGGGAGGGCAGGGCCTCAGAAAGACCCTTGTGATCCTGTGGGGTGAGATTGAAGCCCCGGAGGCTATTATGATGGTCCATGCGGGAGAAAAGGAGGCCTGGGCCAAGGCCGACAGGACAGAGGAACAGAGCCGAGAGACAGAGGGCTGGAGGGACAGGGCTCCCTCCTCCCTAGGGAGTTACAGGGAGGCAGGAGGTGGGGATGGTGCCAGGGTCTGGTTTGGAGACACCGGGAGGGAAACCCTGGAAGAACAGTTGAAAGGAAGTGTGAGGAGCCCAGGGGTCATGTGGGGAGACATCCTGGCTTCAAGACTGAAGCCTGGGCTTAAACAGAGATCTGAGTCTTTTGGAGGCGCTGGAGAGCCAGGGAGGCCTGTGCACAAGGGAGGGACAGGACCAGCTTTGGATGCTTGAGGAATGGACTGAAAGGGGAGAGACCGGAGGCCAGGATTTTGGAGTGGAGGTTGGGCACTAACAGTGTGCTGGGACGAAGACTCAGCTAGAACCTTCCTTAGCATATGGCACTCCCAGGCAAGGCTGGTGAGCGTTTGGGCTCCTTCATTCCCTTAGGATAGTGGGGCCACCCTTCCGTCTGAGGACAGACCTGGTGACCTCACCGAGGGAAGCGGGAGAGAGGGGTCATTGGAAGAGCCTCAGACAGACAGGCAGGGAGTGGGAGATCAGGAGGCAGGGCTGGAGGTTGAGAAAGAAGGTCAGACACAGCAGGGTGAGAGGGGCACAGAGATGTCAGCGAGACTCAGAGATAGAGCTGGGGCCCAGTGGGGAGAGACAGGGATTCTAGAGGGCCGGCTCAGCCCCTGGGGAGATGGGGAGGCTGATGGGGCCCAGGACGTTATTGGGTGTCCTGCCTAAATCAGGCAGTAGAAAACAGAGACAGAAGGAGAGATGACAGCAGGGGAGTCAAGAGGACAAATCAGGAAACTGACGCTTAGGGCCTAACCAGAGAACAGGCCGAAAAGGCCTGGTCTGGGTGGGCTCGGGGGCCCCAGGTCTCACGCCAGCTCCCAGGACATGGTTGCTGGTGGCACAGCCTGTTGAAGCCCCCTGCATTTGCTGGTGGGTGTCAGATTCTGATGTCCTGCCTGTCCTAGTTGTTAGGAACAGTCCCTGAGACCTGGACCTCCAGCTGGGGAGACGCTGGGTGAATCAGCCAGGATGCTTTGTTGTAAGTGGCAGAATCGTGACTCAAACTGGCCTAAGCCAAAAAGTGAACTTATTAGCTCATGTAATTCAAGCTTCAGGCATAGCTTGATGCAGGGTCTCATATGGTGTGCTCCTCTGTCTTGACTTCACTCTCT